ATCTGGGGGCTAGGTGTATTTTACATATAATGGTATTAACACTTATGGAAATATTTGTTCTCATCTACCACCTGCCTGGGTTGGAGGTAAAATGGTGGGATAGTTAAGAGGGTGGGCTCTGGATCCAGACTGCCTGAATTCTCATCCCGGCCCCATGGACAAGCCATAAGATCTTGGGAGAGTTACTTACAATTTAATCACCTGTGTGATGGTGTTTGTAACAGTGTCTTCCTCAAAAGGTGATTGTGAGAATTTAGTGAGATTTACATGTAAGGTTCTTCAACTCATACCTGGCACACAGTAATTACTCAGTAAATATTTGTTGAATGATCCTCATGTTGATTAGAAGCTCTGACAGAAGAATGAAAATGAAGGGGAAACCCTGATCTATATCCTTTTCAGAAAATAAATAAAAAGTGAATTTGTCAGAAATCTTTATCCTCTTGTAGAAATTCTCTACAATTTTTAAGAATTCTCTACAATAATTTTAAATTTTTCTTTAATATGCTATAATATACCGTAAGCTAAAGACATCCCTGTGAAATGCCACATATGCGATTCAAGAAAAAAATGTTTTCTGTTCATTTATGTTCATGTTCGTCCTTCTTCATTAAAAAAGAAAATAAAAGTCAGAAAGAAAACCACGCAAGCCTGGTGCCAAATCTAAATGTGACTGTCTGGGGCTCAGATTCCTACAGACACCAAGACAATTGAGAAAAGAGGAAAGAGGAGGAGAAATTGGAGAAGGACAAAGCCCACAATCATTCACCCGGTGCTCTCTTAAGGAGATGTGAGAGCTGCCAGAATCTGTCTGCAAAGAAGATGCAAGGCAAAGCAGGGAGTCTAATCCCAAGCATGTTTCTAATAATATCTTCTCAACAACTGACATATCTATACCAAATTCCTGATTTCATTACCTCCAGAAACAGCTATCCTGAAGGGTCTCCCCAAAAAGCTTAGTTGGCTCCTTCTGGGCAAGGAAAGAATCATTAGAAATATTCTAGATAATTTTTAGGTTTTAAATTGGTGTTTTAGTCCCTTTGCAACTCTTGCTCAAGTTTTCCTCACCTTCTAAGTCTGAATAAGTAATTTCCAAATCACCATGACTTGTTGAAAATCAATGACCGCAGAATCTTTTAGTCCGTTGAAACAGGGTAGCTAATGGCTTAACTTGAAAATGGAATGGATTTCCCATCAGAGTACTCATAGTACATGACTGTGTTTTTGTAACCTAACACAATGAAGAAGTTGTCACTAGATTATTCAGCAAGTTAGAATCTCAATTCCCTTTCTGGGGAGGAAATCTGAGGCATGTGTTTTTGCTAGATGCTGGAATCAATGTCAGGCAGAGATTATGCACAGGAAGGTAGGAAGTAAGGTCAATCAATTGTCTACCTTGGTCAGAACCAAGTTTTACAGCCAAACCTCTCTCTCTCTCTCTCTCTCTCTCTCTCTCTCTCTCTCTCTCTCTCTCTCACACACACACACACACACACACACACACACACACACACACACACATACACACACACACACACCAAGTCTCAACTGCTCCATTTCTATAAAGGTTCTTGGCAAAATTCCCCTAGGGCAAAATCACTAGTAACTGGAGTTTTCAGCTCATTCAGTATCAGTGGGAAATTTGCCACATTGGCTTTTGACTGACAACCACAAAAACCAGTTTGACTGGGAGTAGTGAGACCAGGAGGTCTAGGTGGTGTATTAGCTCACCAGCTTGGAATGATAACTTGGAGACTGCTCACACCACTTCTTATGTATACTTCAATCTAAGTCCGTGAGAGCACTGAAATCACAAAAATGACAGCAGATTTATAGCAGGAAGGTTTTTTTTATTCAGAACTCAACCACCAAAGAAAAGCTCCTTTCATCAGGGAACCCTGGAAAGTGGTGTCTAAAAATCAGCTCCAAGCCAACTGCACTTCTCAATCTTGTATGATCTCCAATTCCCACAGAAGCCCCACTGGAATGAATTTTTAATGGCACAAAAGCACAAGGGAGAGAGGTCCACCCCAAGCTTTCTGGAGGAAAATGTTTAACATATTTTTTTATGTAAGATCAAAGGCCAGGTGGGGAAATCCTTTTACACATTAAATCAGGATGAAAAAAAAATGAAAATAGGTTTTATTATTTCTCTCCTATACTGAATTTAGGAAAAATTAATTAGTATTTTTAAACTTTTAATTGTGCATGCATATATCTTGATTGTTGACAGTTCTATTTTTCTACAATAAAACCAAGCTTATTGACTATTGGCCATAGCCTTAGTGCTGTGATTCCACTAGATTTCTGGCCATTCAACCCATGTTTGTGGGAAGTGTTCTCATTTGAAAATACAAGGTTAACTTTAAAATCATTTGTCTAATTAAAGTAGAACCAAAATAATTAATGTCTTGAAATTATGTTATTCAGAAATGACAAATAAAAAGTGCTTAAATCTGGTCCACGTTTTTCATTGGAGAGGGTGTTGTGATGTCAACGTGTAAAGTAAAGGTCACGAGTGTCTGAGTCAATGAGACCTGAGTAGGAGGAATCCAGAGTGTGTCACTCACCAGCCTGTGACTCTAGCTTCCTCACTTACCCATAGGAGCCTCAGTTTCCTCACCTGGAAGCAGCTCCACACAAGAGAGCCATAAAATTCTATTGCAACGAGAGAGGCTACATACTATTTAATTGTTCCTCCCTCTTCCCCTAAATGTACAGAAACTAGATAACAGTTTTTGTCATCTTCCCCCAAAGGTAGCTGGGATCTGGAAATGTAAAAGAGAACCACAGAGAGAATCTTTTGGTTGATTAGCTGCTCCTGAGAATCCTGGGTAAAACTGAAAATTTTCAAATGGAAATGCCAATTCTGCCTAACTTTTCATAAGACATTTTGGTTTTGCTTAAAAGCAAATAACCTTAGAAATGAACATACTCAACTCTGCTATTTATTTGAACAAAATTTAGCAAATGTTTATTGAGAGCCAACTAAATGCTGACACTGTTTTAGCTGCTATGCCCTGGAAGATAGCCTGCTCTCTGAGACCTTAGCAGAGCTGGGGTGGCTGATGAGGATATACATTAGGGCATCACGGTCTGCATGGTGCTGGATGGGGGGGGGGGGGGGGGATGTTTAAGGACAAAATGGGAGTTATATGCAGGGTTTTAGACAGACAAGGGTGTGGTGGGTGTCATGGAAAAACAAAGTGGAAGGTTAGAATGATAATGCCTCAACTCACTCACCTATACTGCCACCCAGACCCTGACATCTGTGGAATCCTGCCTGCAGTAGGACTTCAGCCAGGACAGAGGGCACCCATTCCCTGTTGTTGGATGCATGGTGGTGAAGGGATGGTGCACTTGTGCAGACTGCCTCCCTGCACCTGAGCAGACAGTGGTGCCAGCTTCCCTGCCAACACTAAGTTTTCCATTTGTCTATTTCCTCAGGCTAGTGTGGATCATGGCCTCACGTTTGCTAGCATGCTCAGGCCATGCTTCCTCTTAAGTCCTCCTACCAGAGTGGATCGCCGTCAGTAACTCCAGTTGGCTCCTCACATTTAGTATGCATCTTGCTCTCTAGTTTTGGCCCAAATTCCTTGGATTCTGGCCTCAGCCTGAGCTTCTGGATTCACCAGCCTCACTCCCTTTTCTTTTCTGAATTAATAACTCACCATCTTGGCCTTTGGCTTCTTTTCTGTCCTCATTATTTTGTCCTGGCTCATCTGGCCACCCTGTCCTCTCCCCATGCTGCCTGATGGTCCAACCTGCTATTCAAGGGGTAAACAGATTCAGAACCAGAATTCTCTGCAGGAACCACTTCAGAAAGTTGGTCATACACCCTTTTTCTGCCTTTATGTGTAAGCCTGTGACAACCCATCTCAGGGGATTGTCTGGCTGGGGAGACCACAGTTCACTCTGCCCCATCCCCTGCATCAATGACTGTGACTCTAGTCATTCCACTTTCTCTCAATCTTGTGTCCCCAGTCTGCTTGTCAGTTCTCTTCTCTTCTCTTCTCTTCTCTTCTCTTCTCTTCTCTTCTCTTCTCTTCTCTTCTCTCTCTCCCTCCCTCTTCCCTCTTCCCCCTCCATCTTTCCCCTCCCTCTTCTCTCTCCCTCCCTCCCTCCCTCTCTCCCTTCCTCCCTCCTCCCCCTTTTCCTCCTCCTCCTCCCCCTTTTCCTCCTCCTCCTCCTCCTCCTCCTCCTCCTCCTCCTCCTCCTCCTCCTCCTCCTCCTCCTCCTCCTTCTTCTTCTTCTTCTTCTTCTTCTTCTTCTTCTTCTTCTTCTTCTTCTTCTTCTTCTTCTTCTTCTTCTTATCTATCCTTCCCCCACACTGTAGACCTCCCTGGACCCTCCCTGCCATCACTTTGCCTGACAGCAATACTCAGCAATAAAAAGGTGTCTGAGCTCTTGATGTTGACTAATGCCATCTTTGTTTTAGTACCAGATTTGTTTTTGAAGGCTGGACAGTCAGGACAGCCTGCAGAGCATGCCATAGGCAGAGGAAAGAAGGCTGCTCTGTAATTTTCCAGACAGCTTCCTCAAATCCATGGGCAATGGCTTGGACGCCTTGCCTTTAACAGAACAGGAAACAAGCTCAGACCTCAGGGACTAGCCCGGGTTTCGAATTAAATCAGTGCAGAAGTAGAAGTGAACCCAGAGCTCTCAAACTGAAAACTGTCCTGCATGGAGCAGGATCACAGTCCACCATCTTTCAAAGCCTCAAGCCGGGCAGATCACAGCGTGGACACTTACACTTGGCAGTTACTAGTAAGTTGTACTAGACTTTCCTGTGGATTTTTTTTTAATCCTGTAAAGGAGTTGCACAGTTAATTTCTTGTTGAGGATTAATCATTTTCTCTCCTCCCTATGACTGTTCCTCATGTCCTGCCCCTGGTTTCACTTGTCCCAACCCTTTTGAAGGGCGGGACATTCCTTCTCTCTCCCCTCCCCAACTGCAGCGTGTAATCAGGACCAATGAAAGCAAGCTACCTCATCCACCCTGTGACGAAGAATCACAGTATTTAAGAGGCTGTAGGAATGGGCTGAAAATCGGCTTTTGTTTTCTGTGCAGACAGGCACACTCCCATCTGATTTGGGCCATCCCTCACCTTCAGAGTGAAGGGGGAAAAATAACCCCCAGACTCCTTGCCACCATGTGCTACGGCAAGTGCGCACGATGCATCGGACAGTCTCTGGTGGGGCTCGCCATCCTCTGCATTGTAGCTAACATCTTGCTGTACTTTCCCAATGGGGAAACAAAGTATGCCTCTGAAGACCACCTCAGCAAGTTTGTGTGGTTTTTTTCTGGCATCATAGGAGGGGGCTTGCTGGTAAGTTGTTCAAAATTATTACAACTTTAACAACTTCTGTTAAATGTGATGATTTCTTGTGTTTTCATGGAAAGTTTTCTATAATGCCTATTTCCAAATCCAGTGATTTTTGTTCATTCTTCTTTTGAAAGCAGATTATGCAAAAGTTGAGATAGGTATAAGATACTAATTTCATTGGATGTCGTTTTACAAAATCCTCTTTCAACTAAAAATGAACTATCTTTGTGCTAAACTCTCTTACTTTACAACTAGAAACAGATACTAGCTGTTAAATCAGATTAGAGAGACTGGAGTTTCTAGTCCTGAAGCTGGCAGCCCTGGATAATTTTTGCTCTGGGGAGTTGAGAGGAGTCAGCTGGTGTTCTGTCTAAATCAACAGAACTTGGGATCCAAAATCTCTGCTGTTTGTCCTCAGGCATCTGCAACAGGAAAAAAAAAAAAAAAAAAATATATATATATATATATATATATATATATATATATATATATATATATATATAAATTGTGAGTGCATTATTATTTAGAAAGAACTATAGATTTTCTCCTTTATGTAATTCTTGGGTGTGGTGTCCAGGAAAATCTTGCCGTTAGCAGCAGATCAGTGTCTGAAGCTAGCAGTGGAATGTGTTGTTTTTTTCAAAGTTTATTTTTAATTCAAGTGAGAGGAATGTGCTTGCCAATTTTGGAGCTGAAAATACTAGCTTTAAGCATATCATGGAAAGAATGTGTACAAACTTGAGCTTGCTACTCTAAAATTCTGGAATTAAGAATTTTAAAGAGAAGTTTATAGAATTGCTAATACTAGACAAAATAGTTTTCTTATTCAAATAAAGGATATTAAAACATTTAAAACTTCATATACTAATTATAGTTTGATAAATCTGCTTTGAATTTAAACATTACTATCACATTAATATAATCATTTGTCCTTCAATAATATTGTACTTGTTTAATCTTCTTTTTATCTCAAAGTATGTCATACTTACTTTATATAAAGAGCTTTGTTATAAAGCTATAACCATACAATCATGTCTTCAAAGAAGCAGTTCACTTTTATTAATACAGAGCTTCCATCTCTTCCATTTACAAAAAAAGGTGTCAGTTAAGGATTGTTGGTATCTTCTATGTTTTACAATGAAAAACAAATCAGATTTAAAGGCAAGGTTTAATAATTGCAAAACAACACTTGCAAAAAGCAATAACAACAAAACCCAGCAGCAGTTGCAGCTAGGGCTATGTTAGGAACTCATGTGAAATAAGCGCATTCAAAGGTTATTATTTTAGTCCTCCCATATCACACACCCTCACCCTAAAGAATGCTTTACACATTATATGAAAACAAGAAGATATTACATTTAGAGGGTTTTTTCTCTTCATCATTTCACATTATTTGAGATACCTGATCAATTTAACCCAATGCCAGTTAACAATGTCAGAAACGAATGTATTTTACCGAAAGTACTTAACCTGACCCTTATGGACTTGGGGAAAGACAATGACTTTAATCTGTTTGTTTTCTAATCAGATATTCCTGCCAGCATTTGTCTTCATTGGGCTGGAACAAGAGGACTGCTGTGGCTGCTGCGGCCACGACAACTGTGGCAAAAGATGCGCGGTAGGTCCTCCTGCTCTGGTGGAGACATTGGTTTTCACACCATTGCAGGACGCTCTGTGGCTCATCCCCGGTGTTTCTCCTCCTCTAGATGCTTTCTTCTGTGCTGGCATCTCTCATCGGAATTGCAGGGTCTGGCTACTGTGTCATTGTGGCAGCTCTGGGCTTAGCGGCAGGACCACTATGTCTTGATTCCTCCAACCAGTGGAACTATACCTTTCTGGACACTGAAGGACAGTGAGTAATTGTTCTGTAACAGACCACACATTCTTATCCACCACATGTGTATAGTGGAAACCCATTAAACTAAAAAGGCATCATTCATCCGTTCATCCATCCACTCAGCCAGGTTTGTTGGCACTGACTCAGTCATGGATTAGGGTGTCTGAGGGTTGACGCTCAGTGCCTGATATGGAGAAGCTCTAAGGCTTTTTAGTGGACACACTGAAGCAGTCTCATGATAACCCTGTGAGGTGACTTCCACTATCACTCCCACTTAAAAAAATGAGCAAACAAAGACACAGAGAGATGAAGTAACTTAACCAAAGCCACATTGTGAGGACATGCAATCAGGATTCAAACCCATGACCCACGGAGCCTGGCTGTAGTTTGTGTTCATATGTACACTATTTCAGAACAATTGGCTGCTTCTACTATTTTATAAGAAATATTATGGAATCCTTATATAGATGGAAACTATGTGAATTTAATCAAAGCTTCGGAAAATCATACTACTACTCTTCCTTCCCATACACATTCACATAAACATAACTATGTACAATGTATCCTTACTTAAAGTGATATCTACACTAATAAAAGACAAACATGCAAATTGACCATACCTTCACTATGCCTTAAGCCACACCCACCAGCCAGTCAGAGCAACTATATGCAAATTAACCCAACCAAGATGGCGGCCCGCAGCCACGGAGCTGGAGCAAACAGGATGCTTGGTTGCCCCAATGATGAAGGAAGCCAAGCTTCCCGCCTGCCGTGGCCCTGGCTCTGAGCTCCACTCAAAGCAACAAAGTTTCAATTATAGAAGGTAAATAAATACCAGAATAAAAAAAGAAAAAGAAAAAAGGAGAGGCTGGGAGCTTCTCCTTGTCGCCGGGCGGAGCTTGGCCAGCCTGAAAATGGCCCTCAGCCCCTCACCCAGAATGGCCAGGCACCCCAGTGGGAACCCCCCACCCCAAAGGGGGTGTGGCCAGCCTGAAAACAGCCATCATCCTCTCACTCAGGCTGGCCAGGCACCCCAGTGGGGACCCCCACCCTGAAGGGGGTGTGACCAGCTGCAAACAGCCATCAGCCCCTCACCTAGGCTGGCCAGGCACCCCAGCAGGACCCCCACCCTGATCCAGTCCACCCTTCAGGGCAAACCAGCCAGCCCCCACCTGTGCACCAGGCCTCTATCCTATATAATAAAAGGGTAATATGCAAATTGACCCTAACAGCAGAACGACTAGGAATGACTGGTCACTATGACACACACTGACCACCAGGGGGCAGACGCTCAATGCAGGAGCTGCTCCTGGTAGTCAGTGCACTCCCACAGGGGGAGCTCTGTTCACCCACAAGCCAGGCTGATGGCTGCCAGTACAGTGGTGGTGGTGGGAGCCTCTCTCACTTCCTCAGCAGCACTAAGGATGTCCGACTGTAGTTAGGCCTGCTCCCCGCTGGCAAGTGGACATCCCCCGAGGGCTCTTGGGCTGCTAGAGGGATGTCTGACTGCCAGCTTAGGCCCAATCCCCCGGAAGGTGGGCCTAAGCCAGCAGGTGGTCATCCCCCGAGGAGTCCCACTGCAAGAGGGCACAGGCTGGACTGAGGGACCCCCCCAAGTGCACAAATTTTTGTGCACCAGGCCTCTAGTTGCTATATAAGACAGGTCTTACAATTTTAACATCAGGATAATTTATGATGCTCCATTGTTTTATGTTGATACTTATTTCTTATCTGTTATTAAGAAATGAACAGAAACAGCTGATAGAAACTGATGTACATTATAACAAGTGAATGACATGCTTCTTTGAATTTTGAAAGGCTTAGCGATAAATAAGTAAAAATAATATGAATAATGAATTTTAACTATCTTTATATTATGAAGAGTGTTTGTCCCCCATGAATTTTATAGCATGTACTAAGGTCATAAGATTGAGTATGGAATTAGATAAACCTGAGTTTTTTCCAAGCTCTGCATTTAGTCTCTAAATGGCCAGGAAAAAGTGAACTGAGATCTCTGCATTTAGTTACTTCATCTGTAAAATAAAACTAGTGGCAGCTGTCAGCAAGATACCATATGTAAAATATTTGTCATAGAAGCAAATATCCTGTGAGCACTATCACTGTTGGCTGTTAATATTATCTACTTGCTTACAATGAATACAGCCCAATGGTAGCCTTTGAAAGAAAATTAGCACTTACAGGAGTAAAATTTTGGTGTTCAAAAATTGTGACTTTTTTTTGTTCAGTACATACTGAATGTACTAGTAGAAATTGGTTGTTTATGTATGCACAGACATACAAAACTACTGCAAAAAACCCATCTCTTAAAAAAAAGTTATGACTAATATAGCTGGAATACAAGGAGAGTTGAGAGCCATTGCTAAAGTTTTTTATGACTCCTCCCATAATTCACCTTAGCTTCTACAAGAAAACTGCTTCTATGTTATTCCTCATTTCAACCTGTTCAGAGATTGCAACATGGGGAATAATAATGGTCACAAGCCAGTGATTAGTTGTTCAATAGCCAAGTGGGGCCAAAGAACTTTTTTTTACTTTTGATCCTGAAATTACAGGTTTTTGTTTCAGTGACATACAGAAAAACAGGGTTGGGACCAAAGGATTTGTATGCATTCACATAAGCATAACCCATGGACACAGACAGTAGGGAAGTGAGGGCATGTGCTGGGGTGGGAGGTGGGGGTGGGGGGGAGAATGGCCGGGGAGAGGGCAATGAGTGAAAAAGGAGACATATGTAATGCTTTAAACAATGAAGAATTTTAAAAAAGAAAGAAAGACAGAGCCGAAGGACAGACTGTTTTGTAAACAAATTGATTTGTGGATTGTCTCAGTGAGCCATTCCAAAATTAAGTTTCTAATTCCCAACCCCTTTCTGTGTGGTAGGAAAAACTGAAAAGGGAAGAATCATACCAGACCTCTTTGTGGAATTAAGTCAATCCTAGATTTTCTCACATAATTAAATCCTGTTTCATTAAGGATTTAAACACTCTATGATGTACCAAAGGTCAAAATTCTAGAAGAAGAATGAGAGAATATTTCAGACTATAAGAATATCCAGGTATTTAGAAAATCTCCTAAGATTTTATAATATATATATATATATATATATATATATATATATATATTCAGATATTACCTCAGCATTATTTCCTAACATTTCTCATAGTAACTTTGGATTGTTATGTATCAGTCAATTACTTTAAAAATGTGTTGAGAACCTACTATGTGCCAGATAGTGGTCTAGGGGCTGGATAAACAATGATGAAAGGTCTGGTTTCTACCTTCATGAAGCTCAGACTTGTGGGAAAGCTACATATGTAGGTCTTCTCCCTGGTCTAAGTTAGGTTTCATTCCTCTGTGGCTTTTTCACACTTGGTTTACCTAATTAGTATATCTGTTGCTTGAGATAGCTATTGTCTGTTCCCTGAAATTGTGCTTTTCCAGGACAGAGCCCATGTCATGTTCACTATTGCATTCCCAGCCCTGCTCAATGTCTCACACTGAGTGCTCAATACTCTCTGTTAAGTTTTATGTTTATCATGGCAACAAAATTGGGCTAAACTGTTGTTTTGTGGAATGTCATGGATTGGAAGAAGTTGAGATAGGCCATTGAATTAATTCATCCCTTTTTTCTGAATAAAAAGACACCGCACAAAAAGTAGCTTATGAGATATCCCATTAGGTCTGGTCATGTGTCAGAAGTTTCTCTTTTTATGCACAGATACCTTCTGGATACATCCACATGGTCCCACTGCATCGAACCCAGGCACGTTGTGGAATGGAATGTTTCTCTGTTTTCTATACTCTTGGCACTAGGTGGAATTGAATTCATCTTGTGTCTCATTCAAGTAATAAACGGAATGCTTGGAGGCATATGTGGCTACTGCTGTACTCACCATCAGGTAAGAACCTGCATGAAAAAATTGTAGCCTGTCCCTCATGTAGTCAATCAATATAATGCACCGTAACAGAGAAAAAAGCAAAAATCAAACATTGCTCAGCCTACCAGCATTTATTCCTACATTGTCTTTGTGGCAAAGTATTTATAGTGTTCAGTTTTGCTCTCAATAATAAGTTTCCTTGAATGTTACAGTTACCTTCATAATTAGCTCTGTGGATATGGGAAAATGCCACCCATAGACAAAGTGCCCCATTCAGGAGCCAACCCACTGTTCTGGCTGCAGACACAAAAGAAATGTCCTCTCTTCGCTTCTCTCCTGTTCCCAACTAGTTTTCACAAATAATAGTCAACATTCATTGCATTAGGCATAGTGTTAAACCAATTTTTCAGCTGAGACTGTGACTCAGACATTAAGCAATATGCCTAAAATCACTTAGTCAAGAAAGTAATGGGCTTCCAACCCTGGTTCATCTTTTGCTGCCGCACCTGCTCTTAACCTGTATGCAATACTTGCTGTTCTGTTGGGTTTTCTACAGCTCCTTTCTAATAAGAAGTCATAAAAAGCTCAAACAGCTAAGCAGAGAGAATCACTAGTAGCAGCTCATGAAAAGCCTTTCACTGTGAAAGAAAACCAGGAAGCAGTTGTTTCCTGGGGATATGATTTTGGAGAAAAATATGCATTTGTTAGTAGTGAAGAACATCTTGTTTCTATAGCCTCCTAAAAATTATATATTATTAAATTGATGGAAGGTCAGCTTTGGTCTAATTTGGAGGGTGGTGTTGTTTTATGTCTTATTCTGTAAAACAGGATTAGGTAAATAGAAATTTATTTAATGTATATTTCCCTAACCATTTACTTCTCTGTAAATGGTTCAAGGTCTCTTAACTTTCTTTTAAAATAAGATAAAACCCAATGAACACCAAAAGTCCACTATTACCATAAAAAAATACACATTGCTGTAAGTAAATGAAAACTTTCTAATTTTTTGAGGGGAAGTTAAAATAAAAATCTAGTTTGCCTTATTAGGCTAATCCAGTAAGATTAATAATTTCCTTGGGAGCTCGCCAAAATCCCAAGAAAACAAAGGAGTGGGAACCCTTTACCATGAGCTGTTTCCAGCAAGATGGTTTGGGAGAGGCAAGGAAGAGTCCTCTCTGATTACTAAGTAACCTATCCTTTAGCTTTGAGCTTCATAAGGCACAGTTTAAATTGTGTGAGGCCCCACTAGACCTCAGTTCTCATGCATCTTGGGGACAGGCATAATATGTCAATGACCAAAGTTACTGTAGTGGTTTAGCAGAGTGACACTCTCTCCTGGGAGGGAGAAACTAGTCTCCCTGGGTTTACATTTGAGTCACAGTAGGAGTGGCTGCTTTTCCCAACACTGCAGAGCAGCTCTGTTACCTTTGTTTATAAGACAAAAGTGACTTTCAAAGAGCAAGTTTTTTACTGAAGATGAGTCAACTGTAGAACTCGGTAGCATTTAATGAGAAAGGTTACCCACACTGAGCCCACTCCTGTGTGAAACTCCCATGGCATTATCTCTAAAATTCCTAAGATTAAAAACCTACCAAACATGCTCAAAGCCAACTCAGCATTGGTAAGCTACAGTTTCCATGGCCCCTTTCTGCAGCCTTTACTCCGAGAGGACAACTGGTCTGTCTGGTTTGTTTAGGAAATGTTTTGTGAGCATTGTCTGAGCTCTCAGTATTGTCCCTAGAAACTCTGCTGAAGTTGAGATCAGCCAGCTTCATGCTTGCTTAAAGTAGGAATTTAAAAGACTGAAATGCCATCATTGTTCATTTAGCCTGTTTGTAACCTAATGCATATTTCATTTTCTTTACAGCAATATGACTGTTAAAATAACCACCCCAAGACAGAACCACAATCTTCCTTCATTTCATTGTAATTTATATATTTTACTTGTATTAATTTGTAAAACTTTGTACTAGTGTATTATATTTCTTTTATGCTCCTTTTATAAATGTGTGTAAAGACTGGCATCTTCATGTGATGTCAGTGTTTGCACTTAGCAAACAAATATATATATATATATATATATATATATATATATATATATATATATATATTTTAAAGAATGAGAAAATAAACCACACTCTTGAGATTATTTACAGATGGAGTGATGGTCCTCAATGCATTTGAGATAAACTCTGAAGTAATGTTTTTAAGAAACATTGCCATGATAAATATTACATCCAAATTTCTACTGTATATATGTGCTTGTGTTTATTAAATGAAAGATTTCTAGTAGCTTTTTTAAGATCATGAAGGAGAAAATCCAACAACTTGAAAAGATGATTTTTTTTCATTGTTTATATGGTGTTTCCCATTGATGTACCTGCAACTCTCTAATATGAAGCTTCTTTGCACTGTTTTTGCCTTCTGGGAGGGACAGCTCCTTGCCCAGAGTGGGAGGACTGACTCACGATTCTCCAAGCCTAATGAATGAGTCAAAATGTACAATGCTGCTGGTTGCTGCAAGCACTTCAGATCCTAAGTTTTCCTAACATGTGCAAACTTTTTTGTCCTTCAAAGACAAGCACTGAGGATCACGTATTTAAGAAGAGAAAGGCCTGGATGATTAGACAGGAAGCATGTTGGGAAACGGAATAAAGCACCATGAGAAAATGGGGGAGAAGGGAAATGGGGCAGGAGGACCACAAGGAAATATCCCAAACTTTCTTGTTTAAATACAACAAAATAAAGTATCCACTACCATTTTTTCTTGTTTAGTTTCATTGTCTTTTGTTTAAAATGTCTCCTTTTTTTCTCCCTATTTTTTCCAGTCTGCAGGTTATGAAACTTCTATCGTTAGGCACTGTGTGTTTCCCTGTTTCTTTATCCCACTTCTCTCCCTCATCCCCTCCCTCCTCTCCTACCTTCCTCTGCTCATTGCTCGGCCATCCCTTGGAGGCCTCACCTGTTAAGTAGCCTACCTTTCTGCTGGGTACGGCTGGCATCAGGCTGGGGCGGGGGAGGGATGACAAATATTTTCTTTCTTGATATTTTATGTTGGTTGTATAGAGATAGGCTCTTTCAAGCGACAGGATCCCCTGACCTATTTATTGGGAATTGTTTTCAGAAATTTTCTGCTTTCAATGCAGTCTGATGATGGAACTAAGCTGTAATGACCACTGTAACAGGATGGTATGTTAAGACCAACAAACGAAGCAGGCAACTCCGTTAAAATATAATAGAATATATTGCAGAGTAATTTACTTATGGGAACTTTGGGTCTGAGCAGAACACACGACCCAACAATTCTGCACAGATTATTCTCTTCTATGGACTCCTGCTACTATACAAAAAAAAAAAAGTATGACAGGTACTTATAATTGACAAGACAGGGACAAAGACTGCAGTAGTGACAGAGGCCATGCCTCCTGGTGGTCTTGCGATAGATAATTGCTTATAATCTATGCTATCACCAGTTTGATATTTATCTCCAGTTGTCCCTCCTTCCCAACAGTGTTTATGGCTATATTTTAAGGCACACAGATGTCAGCAACTAAAAGCTTTGATATACTTGCCAAGAACAGTGAGTGAGGTTAGTGAAAGGTTGCAGCATGAAACAAAAAATGAAATGAAATCTGGAACACAGAGATGGAGTTGTTTTTGTTCACATCTACATCTCTAAAGGTATTTATTTGCCTCAGCAACAGACAAGCAGTTAATAAAGCATCTTTGCTGGCTGTTAGAACACAGAGCTCCTCTTGCCTGTAAGGCACCCAACAGCACTTTCTTGACTGAAGGATTCTCATCTTTTTTGTACTTCTGTCCCTCTGGCAGTCTGATGAAGTCTACAGACTTTTATCAAGGATACTGTTTAAAGAACAGACCATCCAATTGATGGGGAAATAAGACATTTGGGGGGGGGGGGGCTAGCAGCCTGACTGTACTTAATCAGTATCCCTAATGCACATTCTTGCTAGCCGATAATTAACTCACTTCCCCTTCCTTAATTATCTGGTCTTGCAAGACCTAAATACTCTCATTTTACAAAGGCCATAAACCATGAACCATACACAACCCCCGGGGGGCGGGGTGGGGGGGTGGTGGAAGGGGCAGTTATCAGTGCTGGCGCCAGGCCAGGACTTTAGGTGTGGTCTCACGGCACCCATCCCAACACACAGGGCTTCTTGCAAAGCACGCGAAAGGTCCGGAAGTCTGATCCATATTTGGGCGACAAAGAAACCAAAGGGTATAAAGAGAAAGCTTCTTCCATATTGGCTTGCTCAGGATTTGGAAACAGGTTCTCCTGAGTCACAGTACTAGTACATCTGGAAATAAATGGGTTTTTCCTGTATCTCCAAGTACTCCTGTGTGTATTTTCTGGTCACCTGGTAAATTCTGTAACACAATCTCAGAGGGAAGACAAGGGAGGGGAGGTGGTAAGAGATCAACCAAAGGACTTGTCTGAATGAATATAAGCATTACCAATGGACACAGATAGTAGAGGGGTGAAGGCATGTGCTGGGTATGCGGGGGGGGGGGGGGAGGAGACATATGTAATACTTCAAACAATAAAGAATTTTTAAAAAATGTGAATAGCCCTGGCAGGGTAGCTCAGTTGGTTAGAGCCGTGGTCTGCAAACTGCGGCTCACAAGCCACATGCGGCTCTTTGGCCCCTTGAGTGTGGCTCTTCCACAAAATACCACATGCAGGCATGCACGTACAGTGCGATTGAAACTCCGTGGCCCATGCGCAGAAGTCGGTATTTTGTGGAAGAGCCACACTCAAGGGGCCAAAGAGCCACATGTGGCTCGCGAGCTGCAGTTTGCCGAGCCGCAGTTTGCCGACCACTGGGTTAGAGCATGGTCCTTATACACCTAGGTTGTGGGTTTGATCCCTGGTCAGGGCACATCCAATGAATGCATAAATAAAGGGAACAACAGATCCATGTTTCTCTCTCAATCTCTCTCTCTCTCTCTCTCTCTCTGTCTCTCTCTCTCTCAGAAAGAAAGAAACTAAGAAAGGAAAGAAAGAAAGAAAGAGAGAGAGAGAGAGAGAGAGAGAGAGAGAGAGAGAAAGAGAAAATTAAAAGTGAATAAATGAAAGTATATAGGATTACAAAGTAAATCAATATATTGAAGTATTTTATCAAAATGATTTTGAAAATTATGATATGGGTTTCTTGATGGCGAGCTCTATCACATCAGTGTCTGTGCATAGGTAAACAGTGTCCACGGGTGACTAGCAGTGGTCTAATGAGTGGGTCTAAGAACTACTGTTCTTTTGCAATACGATTCCAATTGAAATGAGATTTCAAGATCCTGCAATGATTTTAATGTGATATGAAAATAATATGTAACTTTGTATTGTTGATGAAAGCATGATCAGTATTGCTGATACTATTGAGATTTGTTGCATGCAGTCATAATAAAGGAAATACTAAATGTTCATTTGAGGTTGATAAAAATAATGACTTTTTCTCCCATCTAAATTTAATATTCTTTTTCACAGATATCTATCTATCCATGGACCTCCTGTAAGTTCTTGGAAAGGTTAAGAACCCATGCAATAGAGTATCCAAAAAAGAGGCATAATGACAAGTTATAAGTGTCTTGTTTTTCTAAATGTATCCTCAAAAGAAATTACATAATAATTACTAACCATGATAGTAATAATAGCAACCATTGAATTCCTTCAATGTGTCAGTTACTGTACTTGGTTCCTATACATATTATTTCACCAAAATCACTCAATAGTCCTAGAAGGTGGTGCTTGTCTCCATTGTAGTCAAAGCTCAGAGAGGTTAAGTAATCTGCCCAAGACTATATCTTTCCCAATTGATAAAACTATGATCGAAACCCAGGTCTAACGTGAAACCCAGACTTTTAGCTCTTGTTGGCCCCCTGCCTCTGCTGTCCCTGCCAGCATGCTGGGATCACAGCTCCTCCAACACTGCCTCAGCCTCTCCACCCACCCGAGACAGCTTTAACAAGCCCCTGTGACCTCTTCATCCCTACCCAGGGTCCAAATTGAGTGGTTCACTTTCCCCTGGTTTGTAAATTCTTTAATAACTAGGGGCCCGGTGCACGAAAGGCGTGCACTGGCGGGGGCGGGGGGTGTCCCTCAGCCCAGCCTGCCCCCTGTCACATACTGGGAGCCCTCGGAGATGTCCTAGTGACAGCTTAGGCCCGCTCCCTGCTCCCCTTGGGGAGCGGGCCTAAGCTACAGTCTGGCCTCCCTTTGTGGGAGGTGACCAGGCTGATCAGGGGAAGGCACCAGCCCCATCACTCCGCTGCTGCAGCCACTGCCAGTCACCACAGCCAGCAAGGTTTTTTCATCAACACAGACTCCAGTCCCTTCACCATGAAAAAATGGCAACTTTCTTTAGGCATTTTCAACATGTGTCTTTCATATAATAATAATTTCTTTATTATTTTTTTATCCTCACCTGAGGATATGTTTCCATTGATTTTTAGAGAATGTGGAAGAGAAAGGGAAAGACAGAGAGAAACATCAAAGTGAGAGGAACACTTTGATTGGTTGCCTCCTGCATGAGCCCTGACCTGGGCCCCAGCCAGGGAGGAGCCTGCAACCTAGATACATGCCCTTGGTCAGAATTGAACCCAGACCCTGCCATCGGCAGGCCAAGGCATTATCCACTGAGCCAAACTGGCTAGGGCAGGATATGACATTTCTTAGCCTTCCAGCAGTGGACCTTCGTTTTTTTTGCCAGGAGTGTGGTGAAAAACCCTAGATCACCTTTTTGGATTCTTATTACCCAAGTTACTAAGAATATTACCAGTGGCATACAGGGAGCTTAGCCAATCAATCACCGGCTTGGCCCCCCCCCGGGCCCAGGCTTGATGCCTCTGGTCCAGGCATCAGGCCTTGGCAGGGGACCTCCATCTCCCTCCCATCGCCGGCTCCACCCTCACCCCGGCCTGACGCCTCAGCCAGAGGCGTCGACCCCCATCACCCTCCAATTGCTGGATTGGCCCCTTGCCCAGGCCTGACGCCTCAGCCAGAGGCATCAGGCCTGGGCAGGTGACCCCCATTTCTCCCCGATCGCCAGCTCCGCCCCCCACCCAGGCCTGATGCCTCGGCCAGAGGCGTCGACCACTATCACCCTCCAATTGCTGGATTGGCCCCTTGCCCAGGCCTGACGCCTCCCCCAGAGGTGTCAGGCCTGGGCAGGGGACCCCCATCTCCCCCCCATCACTGGCTTCTGGGCAGCTTCTGGGGTCAGGGGCGGCAGGCAGGTGGTTTCTGCGGTCGCACATGAGGGCCTGGATGGTGGCTGGCTGCGCTGGACAGCTGTGCTGTCCCACCCTGCCTGCACTATGCAAATTACCCGCCATCTTTGTTGGCGGTTAATTTGCATATCATGCTGATTAGCCAATGGGCGGCATAGCAAAGGTATGGTCAATTACCATGTTTGTCTATTATTAGATAGGATTGGCATTGCCCAGAGCAAATACCTTATCCAAGTTACCAGCTATCCTGAATCTGTAATATTCTAAACCCCTCAATTTGGTTGGAAATTTCCTAAGGGATACTGAAACAGCTCTTTATCACCTGGCCACATAAAACAATAAAAATGCTGTAGAATTTGAATCAACTGACTAGCAAACATGGCGCCAAAGTTATCTACTTCAATATAAGAGCCATAGGGAATAGTGACCAAATTTACCATGGTTACCAAATTTACAAATAACTGCCCTCATAAAGGAAACCCTCTTGAATCAAAATCTAAGAAAACTGATGGGATG